CTTGGAAGAATGAGGTGGAAGGATTGCCTGAGCTCAGCAGGTGGAGGCCGTGGTGGCTGTGAGCATGCCACGGCACTCCAGCCTGGGTGACAGAGTAAGACTCCAACTAAAAAATAAAAAAATAATAATAAAATAAAATCACCACACTTATTTTTCATATCTGTAAAATGGGATAAGATTGTCTCTTTATTAAGAGGCATTCTTCATATAAAACACTTTCATAGAGTCCTTGGCACATGACACTCTAATGTAAGCTAATATTTATTTAAATTGTTGTCTAATCCCAGTGTAGGTCCTTGACAGGAGTCATGTCTGATTTGTTTTGGCAGTTCAAGTTCCAGTTGATGTGTTGAGCATATGGGAATACTTGTCAAATATTTGATGGCCGGGCTCGGTGGCTCAGCCTATAATCCCAGCACTTTGGGAGGCCGAGGCGAGTGGATTACCTGAGTGCAGGGGTTTGAGACCCACCCAGGCAACTTGGTGAGACCTTGTCTCTACAATAAATAAAAAACTAGCAGGGCGTGGCAGCTGGCACCTGTAGTGCAGGCTACTTGGAAGGCTGAGGTGGAAGGATCTCCAGAGCCCAGTGGGTCGTGGCTGCGGTGGCCGGAAGTGGGCCACTGCTCTCCAGTCTGGGTGACGAAGTGGGACTCTGACTCAAAAAAATAATAAATAAGTAAATAAATAAAGAAATATTTGATGATTAAGTGAATGACTAACATATTCTTTAATAAGACCAGTTAACTGGAGTGTTTCTATAAGTGGAAAGAAAAACTGTGTAATTGTCATGTGAACAAATTTGTTTTATTCATGTTTTAAAAATCGGATTTTCATAACTCTTTATATAACAAGGCATGAAAAAGTACATAAAATGGAATGTGCACCAAGTTATATAACTATTAACTCATAATATTCACTAGTATATGATGTTATAGTGTCACTTTTTTGCTTTTTAGTGTATTTTAAATTTAAAATTCATTCTGTAAAATGGTGTTTATGTAGATATATATCTAGTTGTGTCTTTTTGACACATGAAGATTATGTTTACTTTCCAAACAAAGTAGTTCAATAATCATTTAGATGGCATTCCTACAATAGTAGGATGAAGGCATGTATCTAAGGAGAAGAATTTCAGGAATTATACATATGTATCATATAAATGGTGTATTTTCTCATTAATGATACATTTTATTGCCATTTTTTTCCCCAAGAAAAAAGTAAACGTGTAACTTTATGTAGTATGATTTTTAAAAGTCCTCTGGTTATTAGTGTTCATATTTATCATAAACCTGAAGAACACAAGAGTTAGAAATCTGGGTTTATAATCTCCAGTTTCAAAAAGGCCAGAAACATTTTAAATTATCCCACATGATTTTTATGATTCATGACATAAATAAAACATAGGGATTTTCAAAAGTTCTAAGTTCTTTTTTTTTTTAAATGTTAGTTACTTCTGAATATAACCAAATACTTGAATTTCCATACCTGAGCCACTAATTTGACTTTTAGTAATAGAAGACTAGCTTAGACAGCATTGCACCTACAAAAAGTGGATCCTTCTTGTAATACAAGTGCTGTTCATCAGGGGCTTCAATACCTCAGGTCTTTAAAACAAATTAAATCCCCTTAAGTTGTAATAATGTAAGAGGATGCTGTAATCTTTAATTAGTTTAAATGAAATAATATACATGACCCTCCTTTTACATTTTTACAGCATGTTGATAATTTGAAGGGAAATTCTGAAAAACAGGCATGCCTTGAAGTTGAGAATGACTATCTTGAATGTACAAAGCTTTTTTTACAGCAAGATGCAGAGAACCCAGTAGTACTCATGACATTTCTTGCTATTTATGATTCATTTTTGTCTTCATGAGCCCCAAAGCCTAATCCTAAACAAGAAAAGAAAACCAGCTACACAATCTTAGAAACGCAGCCGGGCTCGGTGGCTCAACCTGTAATCCCAGCGTTTTGGGAGGCTGAGGTGAGTGGATCGCCTGAGCCTGCGGGTTTGAGACCTCATCTCTACAATAAATCAAAAAATTAGCCGGGCGTGGTAGCACGTGCCTGTAGTTCCAGCTACTTGGAAGGCTGAGGCAGAAGGATTGCTGGAGCCCTGTGGGTCCAGGCTGCGGTGGCCGGGAGTGGCCACTGTACTCCAGTCTGGGCGACGGAGTAAAACGCCAACTCAAAAAAAAAAAAAAAAAATCTTAGAAACACAATTCTGGGTGAAGTTAGGTAGCTTAATCCTATGTCTTTGCTAGTTATAAAATAAATCTATTAGCCGGGCTTGGTGGCTCAACCTGTAATCCCGCGCCTTTGGGAGGCTGAGGTGAATGGATTGCCTGAGCCCGCGGGTTCGAGACCCGCCTGGGCAGCGAGACCTCATCTCTACAATAAATCAAAAAATCAGCCGGTCGTGGTAGCATGTGCCTGTAATTCCGACTACTCGGAAGGCTGAGGCGGAAGGATCGCCGGAGCCCAGCAGGTTGAGGCTGCGGTGGCCGGGAGCGGCCACTGCACTCCAGTCTGGGCGACAGAGTGAGACTCCAACTCAAAAAATAAATAAATAAATAAAATAAAATAAATCTATTAATATCTTGGGCTTTTCTACTTTGTGAGAAGTCCTTATTCATTCATTTATCTATGCAAGAGTGAGTGTATTTTTTTTTTTTTTTGAGTTGGAGTCACACTCTATCGCCCAGCTGGAGTGCAGTGGCACACTCATGGCCACCTCAGCCTCAACCTCCTGGGCTCAGATGATCCTTCCACCTCAGCCTTCCAAGAAGCTGGAACTATAGGCATGTGCCACCACATCTGGCTAATTTTTTGATTTATTGTAGAAACCAGGTCTTGCCAAGTTGCCCAGACTGGTCTTGGCCTCCACCTCCCAAAGTGCTGGGATTACTGGCGTGAACTACAGCACCCAGCTAAGAATATTTGTTAAATCACCTTCATGTATTCAATTTATAAAAGTGACAATGCTTTTTTTTTTTTTTTTGAGATAGGGTTTCACACTGTCACCCAGGCTGGCATGCAGGGGCATGATCATGGCTCACCCCAACCTCAAATTCCTGGACTCAAGTAATACTCCTGCCTCAGTTTCTCAGGTAACTGGGATCTGAGCCACCACACCTGGCTAATTTTTCTATTTTTGTAAATACTGAATCTCACTATGTTGTCCACGCTGGTCTTGAACTACTGGGCTCAAGGGATCCTCCTGCCTTAGGTCTTGACCTCCCAAAGTGCTGGGATTACAGGCATAAGTCAGAGAACCTGGCTCCAATGGCTATTTTATTCATACATTCATTCATTTATTCTTTAATACATACTTACTGGTTTCTTGCTATTCAATAAAAATTGTGCTGTGCACTGTATATTATGTGATAGATAAGATCAACATCCATGCTTTCCTCAAGGAGTTTACAGACAATTCATCAACAAGTTTTTAGTGATTTATAGAGATAAATTCAGCACTGTATTCAAGGTTATGAGACAATATTATATAAATTTAGAAAATATTGCTCCTATTTTTAAGGAACCAATCATTTCACTAGGGGCAAAAAAACTGAGGTGACTGAAAACATCAAGAATTAATATTAAGTAGAATATATATTCAAATGCTGTCAAAATCCAGGAAGTAAATACAAGAAAGTGTTTGGATGCTAAGTTGTGAGTGAATTAGATGTAGAAATACAAAGCATTTTGAAGAGAAGGGAGAAAATGGCTGGGTACAGTGACTAGGCCTGTGATTCCAGCACTCTGGGAGGCTGAGGTGAGGATTGCCTGATTCCAGGGGTTCCAGATTAGCCTGAGCAACTTGGTGAGACCTTATCTCTACAATAAATTTAAAAATTAGCTGGGTGTGGTGGTGTGTGCCTGTAGTTCCAGCTACTTGGAAGACTGAGGTGGAAGGATCATCTGAGCCCGGAAAGTTGAGGTTGCAGTGGCCATGAATGTGCCACTGCACTCCAGGCTGGGCAACAGAGTGAGACTACGATTCAACAAAGAAAGAAAAAAACCATGAGAGCCTGGCATTGTGACATGTACTTGTTGCTCCAGCTCTATGGGAGGCTGACGGGGGGAATCACTTGAGCCCAGGAGTTTGACATCAACCCAGGCAACATAGCAATAGTCTCAGCTACTTGGGAGGTCAAGACAGGAGGATTGCTTGAGCCCAGGAGTTAGAGGCAGCACTCTAGCATTGACAACAGAGCAAGATCATGTCTCAAAAATAAATACACGAATTAATGAATAAATAAATAAATATATAAATTCAAATTAGGCATTTAATTTCATTTGTTAAACATATCTTCACAGAATAATAATAGTAATAGCAATAATAATAATAATAATAATAATGTCAGGATCACTCTGTCACCCAGGTTGGAGTGCAGTGGTATGATCACAGCTCAAGGCAGACTTGACCTCCTGGGTTTAGGCAGTCCTGCCTCCTCAGCTTCCTCAGCAGCCAGGACTACAGGCGCCCACCACCATGCCCAGCTAATTTTTAATTTTAATTTAATTTAATTTATTTTTTGAGTTGGAGTCTCACCCTATCGCCCAGGCTGGAGCGTCGAACGGCTGGGCTCCGACGATCATTCCACCTCAGTCTTCAAAGTAGCCAGAACTACAGGGGCACGCTACCATGCCCAGTTACTCTTTGATTTATTGTAGAGACGCGGTCTCGCCAATTTGCCCGAGCTGGTCTCGAACCCGTGGGCTCATGTAATCCACTCGTCTAGACCTCCCAAAGTGCTGGTCTCGAACTCCTGGGCTCAAACAATCTTCTCTCCTCAGTCTCCCAAAGTGCTGAGATTACAGGCATGAGCCAGCTCGCCCTGCCTACGATTGTTTAATAGTTATTAGATTAACGTCTTTTGTGATGGAGTTTTAATGGTGACTTTGTGAAAACAGTATTACTGTCAATGGTGAACTGCGCCCCATGCACTTCCACTTCAACCTGCTCACCCCATTCCTTAGTACGTGATACACACAACATGGGAGAGAGTCTTCTGGGCCAAGTGCACTCTGACTTCATCAACTATTCGTTTTCACTGATTCAACGCTGCTTCGATGGGCTGCCTGGCAAGGTGCTCGGTGTCGGGAATGCAGAGAACAAGGTCAAGGTTCTGGTCCTCCCGGCTTCACTCAGTCCCGTGTCGCCGAGCCAGCCCGCTGGGACACGCGAAGGCAAGCCCGGCGTGAGGGCCTCACTGCAGGGGCGCCTACTGCTTCGTCCATCTCCAAAACATGTGCACCTACAGGTCCCGAACAACCCACTCGTTTCCAGAAACCACACCACTGCAGCTAACACACGAGGAGTGGGACTTGGCCCGCTGCGGCTCGATCCCAAGGCATGGCTGCGGACTCCCCTCGCCAGTCCTCTCCGCGGCTGCAGCTCGGCGCGGACACGCCTGCCGGGAAGCGCGGCGCCGGCGTTCTGGAAGTTTGTAATTAAGTTCGGTGCGCGTGGGAGGGCGCGGGGGGGAGGGGCCACGATCGTGAGGGGCAGTCTCGTCTGAGCGCCCGGCCCGGCCGAGGAGCAGAAACGCGAGGCGCGGACCACGCGTTCCTGGTTTTTCCTCAAAAGCCGCGCACATTTCCCGGCGGGACCCGGGGACGCGGGGGCGGGGACGCCCGCCCGTCGCTCCCCCGAGCCTCCGCCCCGCGCCGCGGCGCTCGGGCCGAGG